ATTGCCAGCTGGCAAAATGAAGGCCAAGCAAGGGCAAGAGGAAACCTCAGATCCCCAAGCGAGACTGTGCATGGCATGGCAGAGTCAGGCCTGTCTCTCTCTCACCAGCCTGAGGTCTTTGCGCTTTCCCTGATATCTGAGGGTGCAGGTTACCGGGTGTGCTCCTCTAAGAGAGGTACAGTGACTGACCTGACCTTCTTGTGGGTGGGACCTTGCTGTCCCCGGCTGTCCTTCAGATTGTTCTCCTTTACTGACCCCCTCTGAGATAAGGCAGAGTGGAGACCAGAAGGTAGCAGCTGAGTCTGTGAGCCTTCCCACCAGACATGCACTTTTGGGTCTTAAAGAGGGTGAAGTAGCAGGCACCCTTCCCATCCCAGCGGCTCAAGGCTGGGTTCCAAGCATGCCTGGCCACAGAAAGTGCTGTCTCAGGACTCTTGTTTCTTTCTATTTTTCCAGAAAAATAGAGAACATCAGAGATGTTCTTGCTCTCCATGACCCCGGAAGCCACATTTATCCTCAGAGAAGAGTCAGCATCAGGCTCCGGAATGGCCCGTGGGATGTGGCTGGCAACCCTCCAGCCTTGCACTGAAGAAGGTGGAGTTTATGAGGGCTGGGACTCCTTGTCCTGAGCAGTATCTCGTACCCTCCCGCTCCACCCCTTCCCCTCTCAGGTTTTTAGGCAGCCCCTCTGTAAAACGTAGGGGCAGGCGGCACGGGGACTCGGGTGTGGCACTGAAGGCTGCACCCTGGCGGCACCAACAGTGGTGTTCTCATCAAAGGCATTAACCTCCTCTTTCTCAAGGTTGCTGCTCGCCTATTTATAGAACTGACCAAGTGGAGTCGACAATGATGCTAATGCTCACTGCAGCGTTTCTCTTCCCTCGCTTTTCCTCCTGACTCCCCAGACAATGTTTTGCTGTAGATTCCTCTCCATGGAGAGTCCCGCAGGGAGCTGGGCAGAGGCTCTGCTGTCTGCGGGACACCTGCTGTGCACACAGGCCCTAAGTCATGCCCACAGTTCCATTTGTCCCCATTTACACACACAGCCTTGAGAGGGCAAGCCACCAGCCCAGTGCTTCTCAGTGGATAACCGCAACTTGACCCTTTCTCCTAGCCTGGGCAGTCTATAAGCTCCTGCCAGTATCATCCCCTGGCTGCATGGTGGTGCCTATGGTGGCTGTGATTTCCTATGGGGGTACTATTTATGATATCACCCTGACACCCTGTCAATCATTTCTCAGGACCTATTGTGTGACAGCCCAAGCTTTGCCTCTCAACAGTCTACAAGTGTTGTAGGGACATGTTTTATATCAGAAACAATGTCTTACCTCATCAAATGCAGGTGTCATGAAGTCCTACTGTGTGCTAGTGATGCCATGCCTGTCAGCAAACTACAGCTGTCATCGATGCCTATAATGCTACCTGATGATGCCTTGTCCCTCAGCAAGGACAAACATCATGTGGACCTGTTGTGTGAGTGATCGTACCTTGTCTTTATGAGGCAATAGCCATCTTGAGGACCTGAGGTATACAGGAGCAGTTTTGTCTCCCCAGACACGGCTTGTCACTTAACTGACCCAACTGTTGTGAGACTCTACTGTGCACTTGGCTATACTTCATCTTTCTAAGCATAAGTATCATAAGAGCCTACTGTGCACAAGGTGGTAATTTGTCCCTTGACAGGCCTGGTACACAGTAGGTTCTTGGTCGGGCTTAATTTCACCATGTGCCCCAGGCAGGGAAGCATTGTCCTTTTGGAACAGAGAGCAGCAGGCAGGGAAGAGGGCATAGGAAGGTGCGGACAGGAGGTGTAGGTGCCTCTGCTCCTGCTGATCTTGCCTGTATCCCAACAGTCACTCTCTGTTTTGCTGGAGCAGAAACACACCTGGTAGATCCAAGGCCCGTCTCTCCTGTGTCTCCAGCTTCACAAAGGTTCGGTTTTCCCCACTATTCCATCAGGGGAGCCGCAGGGAATACTCAAGAACACTGTAAATCTTTCCCTGCTCCTTATCCGAAGAATCCTATCTAAAAAGAGTTTTGGAGAGCTGCCCTGCTCATTGCTGCTCCTCCACCCTGGCCTGGCTTTGCCTATGGACAGCAGAGCGAGGCCCTGCACCCTGGGAAAGCCAGGGCCCCATGCTGTCTGAAAGAAACCTCACCCTTTGCCCAGAGAAGCGGATTGGGGTAACAGTTTAGGCGTTGTATTCTTATTTTCTCATATTGAAAGCAGGTTGCTTTCATTATAGCACGGCCACAGGCAATCCCATCCACAGGAGCTGCTGGGCTTGGTGATCTCTAATGCTTTGTTTTCTTGCATGATTTTTCTGCTGACATCCTGAGATTGTGCTAGAAGCCATGATTTGTAGCCTGTCAACCCCACTTCACATAAGAATTTGTCATGTCTGTGGCATTGCAAAGCCTCTGTCAGTGTGCTCTTCCAGCGGCATACAAGTTTAGTACCTAGAGAAACCTTCACTGAGTCAGACCAGCCCCAACTGTGGTGCATTGTCAGCTGGGGCCGCCTTAGGAGAATTTCACACAGTGGCGGCTTATATCTTCGGAACTGATCTGCTGGCATTTCCAGAGTCTGGAGCCCGAGACAGCATGCAGGTGTGATCAGGTGACCTTCCTGGCTTGCAAAGGACCAGGATAGGAAGCAAGCAAGCTCTGGTGCGTGTGCCCAACCTTCGTGTAAAGCCGCTAATCTCGTCATGAAAACCCCATCCCCATGGCCTCATCCCCCAAGGCCCCATACTCTCACATTCACTAAAATAGAGCTTCAGTGTCTAAATTTGGGATAGCTACATACTGGGGCCCCTAACATGAGGTATGCTTGATGCTTGACTGTCCCCCAGAATCCGTGCCCCCATCCCCATTACAGGTGCATTGTGGAAGAGCAGTGTGACTGGCCTCAGCTTCTACCCCAGGGTATAGACTTTGGCTGACTCCTTACTCCTTGTATTTCTCTATCCTTGTACTGGAAAACTGCACAGCAAAGATGGTGCTTATACTTGAAATTAGTAACTTGGTGAAGGGAACCCCTTGCTGTGTGTATAGGCCGAGAGTTCCTGCCCTCCGCTCCACCCATCATTGTAAGACTTTAGTTTGTAGGAGGAAATGAAGGACAAGAGTTTAGACACCTCCACAGCTAGAACCGCGTTGTTTTACGTAGGGTGCGATGTCTCAAGATCTGCCTGCACCGTGATCAGGGTGCACGGCCCACAAGTAATGGCCAGAGTTCACCACAACACAGATTGAACACTTCAAGCTGAGATTTTGTAGTTAAGGAATAGGGATGGGGTGGAGAAGTTTCATTAGGGGAAAAAAGGGGAATTCAGCATTTTTCCTTAAACAAGCTGTTATTGAAACTGCAAAATCTGTTCTCTCGTTTACAGCCACCTGGGTCTGCAGTGGGGGCAGCTGCTTCGTCTCCAAATGACTGACTTCCTGCAACTCTGAGCTCAATGTTTAGCTTTGACTTTTTTGGGGGGGGAGGGGGTCCTTTACCCATGATAGGATTCCCAAAATGGTACGTGCAGGCACGGGTTGGAAGGCCTGCCACACACAACCCTTTGTAAGGGTTAAGCTGCTGTTGTTGATGTTTCTGTTTTTGACTCTTGTATCTAGTATGTTATTGGGGTTCCGAGACCACTGTCAGGCAGGGTCAGTGTTTAGCTAGAACGTTTCACAAAGTGTCACACGTGTTCAGCATATATTCCTGTCCCTTAGAATCTGTAGCACCTTGGCTCCAGAGTGCATTTATGCCCGAGAGCCAGTGAGATGGCTCAGTGGAAGGAGGAGCTTGCCTCCACACCCGGTGACCCACACGGTGGATGCAGAAAAGCAGCTGGCACAAGTCGTTCTCTGGCCTCTGTGTATGTGCACGTATACACATAAACACAAATAAATAAGTGTAATAAAAGCTTTAAGTGGTATAGCAAAAGACTGAGTCTTCTCCAGAGGATTATACCCATGCCAGCAGCTACTGCCGTGTGCTGTTTAGGGGATGCTAACATGAAACAGTCTGTGGATATTCAGGACAGATGCAGACTTAAAAATACAATCCTCAGATGTGCATACACATATGCATGCATATGGAAGCACAGATTTGGTGTTTGATGTCTTCCTCGGTGACCCTCCACTTCCTTATTGAGACAGGGTCTCCCAGTTCTTTCCAGAGTTTGTGAGTTAACTAGTTTAGCTAGCCAGCTTGCCCTGGGGATCCTGTCCCTGCTTCCCAACTGCTGGGGCAACAAGAGGTTGCCATGTCAGCCTAACTTTGGGGTCCTTGGGGTCTAATGTCACATATGTATGGCAAATGCTTGTAACCACCGAGCAACCCGCCCCCACCCAGGTCCCTGGATGCATTCAAAACAAAACAAAAACATTTTTGTTCTGTGGCTGAATCTGTGGATGTCAAACTATGGGTACAGGGGGCCTATGGGGGCTAACTGTCCTTGAACTGGGCTCAGATTTAGATACGAGTAACAGTAGTGAGGTCCAGAGGAGGCCCAAGCTTCTAGAAGCCCTCAACGCATCGCCTAGGGCACACATCATCCTCCTAGGGTCAAACTGATATGTGTGTGATACTATCTGGTTTATTGGGGACCAGTCACACAGGCATTCTATGGTACCCACGTCCCAGACTGCAGAAGACAGGCAGGTGCTCAACATCACCACGCTGTGGCACAAGCGGTGTCAAAGAGGGAGTCCCTGCATGAGCTACACTCCAAAGCCAAGGTCTCCAACACCAGCCCAGGGCCAGCTCTGCATTCAGGCCGTGTAAGGATAGGGGCCTCAGGTCTGCTCAGTTCACTCTCCACTGCACAGGTATCTTGAGAGATGACTTTGTGTTTAGACCACTTGAAATAGGATGGGACCGATGCTCCATTTTCACACGCAGTGGCGTGGGGAATGGGACTAAGACCTGGTGATGGGAGGTGAAGTAATGGCAGAGTGGGGGTGCCCCCTTCCCTCTAACTGTGTTCCCCTCTCTTCAGGCTCTCAAGGGCTCCAAGAAGCTGGTGCTGTGTGTGTACTCAGCCGGGCGTATCCCTGGGGGCTATGTCACCAACCACATCTACACCTGGGTGGACCCCCAGGGCCGCAGCATATCCCCTCCCTCCAGCCTGCCCCAGCCACATGGCAGCGCCCTGAGACAACATGAGAATGACCGAAGGAGTGCCCTACACCTCCTGCAGGATGGAGATGAGAAAAAGGTGAGATCTGTCTGAACGGAAAAAGACGGTGGGACTTGGGGAGGCCTTGGATTTCCAAGCTCTTTGTACACCCAGGGGTCTCCTCAAAGGAAGAAGGAAGGACCCAGGCTCTGTTACTTCTTTTGTATTCCTCAAGTTTGTTCCTGGCTTCTGCTTGTGACCTATAAGATGTATATTGCCTTGTAGGAGAAGCTGCTGCCACCAAGTGGTACAAATACTCTGGCACTTTGTGACTCTTTCTCCCACAGCAGAGTGGGAGGGACCTTCTGGTCTGGTATACAGCTGTGCACTAGGACTTGATTCCCACCATCCACCAGCTCCTAGGGTGTGCTCCCGTCTGGTAGTTGAATCTGGGCCATAGTAAGCCCCTGCTTTCGCACCCAGGACAGGGGCAGGGAAAAGACTTGGGGCATGCCTTTACATACATTGCACTCAGATTCAGGCTTGGGCTCTCCATCATGGTCCTGGGAGTGCCTTGGGCTGTAAACAACGAAGCCAACTGACTCTAGTACATTTGAGAATGTACTGGAAAGGTGTGAGTAATCTCAGAACTGGACCTGAGAAACTCAGGGTGTATCTGCAAAAGGATCCCCACCACAGTGACCCATATCCTTCCCTTCCAGTCTTCTGTTTCAGGGAGGGAACATCTTTTTGACTGGCAGGATGTCTTGAATCTTGATTGACAGGACCATTATTAGCCCTCTGGTTGGTGGAGAAAGGGGTTCTGTAGTCCAAAGGAGGTCACGCATCACTAAATGTCCCCTATAGAACTGTCTTCCTCCTCCTTCAGAGAGTGATCTATTGCATACAAGAAAGAATGGGGGAAATGATTGAAATCCGCCCCCAAAGTCTTAATCCATCTGGGTGTGTTCGCGTGGCTCTGTTTGCATTGTGGGTGCTTCGGGGCTCAAGAATATCTGTTATCCTGCCAGAGTCTCTTCTGGTTTAGGACTTTGATCCTTACAGACCAGAGACCACATAACTTGGGGTCTGGGGCCAAGCTCCTTCCTCCACAGACTCTTCCTCAGCTTTCTTTTTCCTGTCCATAAGACCATAACATTTACTTAATGTGATTTGTATTCATTGCGCAAACATCAATATGAAGGACGCAGGGGGAGACTTCGGTGCCTTGTTGGGAGGTGAGGGTGTGTGGGAGCCCAGCTGATATGCACAGGACGGCAGCCAGAAAACAGGCCTTCATGCCTCCCTACCAGGGACACCTGCCTTAGGCCACTGCGAGGAAAGTTATCAGCCCTGGGCAATGGGCAAGCCAGCTTTGCAGATCAGGTGGAGAGCCCACTTTGTTGTTTTCTCACGCTGCTGTCCTGGGTAGACCCTGAGTGCAGAGCTAAAATTGGTATGATTTTGGCTGGTCCTGAGCTCATGTGGCTCGAGCGTTGTACAGCGTACCTTCCCGAGTCCTTGAAACCACCTGCAAGGTGTTTAGCGCCAGAATCTGAGCCAGAGGGTGAAGGTAGAGAGGTAAGATCCCAGGAACCAAAATAAAGAAACCTATGTCTTGGCCCCCTTGCTGCTGTGGCAATAAAAGCACCATTGACTGGGCAGTTTATAAGGACACGAGATTGTTTCGGCTGGTGGTAGAAAGGCTGGGCACCTGCACCTAATGAGGCCGTGGTGCTGGACCACTGCATGGTGGCACAAGTTGGCCCAGGTCTTCTTTTTTCTTTTTTTTGCACAAATGTCATAATTTATTTTACCTGTCCCTGTATTGC